ATTCTGGGGGCGTGTCCAAGCGAGACCTTCAAAGGCCAACCCAATCGTGACATTGTTAATGCACGCTGCGTGTACTATGAGGTCATGTGCAGGACGTCCCATTGGGCATGCAGTCTCGAAGCGCCTACGTACTGCCGGTGTGCATGTGTCTGCGTGTGTGTTCACTTCTCGATTCGAACAAGTGCATGCGGAGCTCTATCCAGTTGATGGTACTTTTGAACATGCGATGTCACATCAACAGCTGCTGCAAATTTCACCTAGCCGACATACATGGGAGAGAGAGTGAGTGGAGATTCCGAAGAAATAGAAAGATATATGGAGGCGGTACGAGACGAATCCCGTGGAATCCGAGTGCAGTTATGCATGAAACGTGCACCAAAGTTCAAAATACCAGATATCGGGTTCGTGTCGGTTTTGCACCGGCGGTCAAACATATCAGGATTTTTCTCATTTTAGTTGTTGAAAACATGCCTTTTAGTTAGAAAAAAAATACAATGTCGATGATTGAGCATAACAAATACAGTGCATGATTCTAAGTGTATCAACTAGTTAAGTAAGAAAGGAATTAATAGGCTCACAAAATCCTTACTCTAAGCTAACAAAAGGTACATAACATATGTGTATTTACAAAATGTTATCGATGACTTTCATAACTGTTGAAGTTGTAAGTACATCATTTTATTTTTCAACTTTTCATTTAGATACAATCATTGTGTTGTCATCTACATATCGGTCTATATGGGCTTGGTGGACATATGAGTAAATACTTCCCATATTAGTTGATATCAGGGACGAAGCTAGGGAAACAATCATATGGGCTTACCTCTATAAGGAATGGGATCATGTTTTAAAATAAAAGGTGCTGACACCATTGACATAAAGTCATCTCCGTGCCTGGTCGGCATATTGGCTTATGTGTATGAAAATTATATTTTTGAAATGATCTATTATATTTGTACCGATAGACCCCAAGGTTGATATGTCGTTCATATCGGCCTAGATTTAGAGGCTTGTTTTGTACTTATGTAGTACCTTCTTGAAATAGGTGTATGTGTATTTGTATCCATTGAACAAACCACAAAATAGTCTATCGAGGATCAATAGAAATGGAGAGGTCTAGGTAAATGGAGCGAACCGTGATTTGACGATAAACACGTATAGTCGAGCATGGTTGAAAATATTAGAGGGGAGGGGGGGGCATCTAATGCAAAAATTACAATTTGATACATATGCATTTATTGATTGATATAACAAACCAAAATAGTTGGGCGTGACATGTCCTAGGTTGCCCCTAAGGGCAGTCCCAATGCTCCAAGCTGCACTATATCTAAGTATGCCACCTAGATATAAAAAATTGATGTGGCGCCATATTTGATGAGGAAATAGGGCACTACTATATCTTAATCCAGATATAGTTCTTAGAAACGGAACCAAGAAAATTAATGTTTTTCTCACACAAAAAGTATTAAATAAGAGTAATTTTAGATACAACTATAAGATATAATCCATTCGAGAAGTTGTGATAAGGACAACACTACCACAATTACACCGACAGCCCCTGCTGCTACACATATTGGACCAACTACTAGAGCTCACGCACGTCAATTAAAATACCAGGTACTTTCATTTCTTGGTAATGATTCTAATATTCGTGATAATTTGATCCTGTCTAAGTTGGATACATTTGCTTTGCTTACAAATGAAGGGCCTAGCATGGACAAGAAGGACGAACATTGGAGTATGATCAAGCGTGGAGATGAAGGCGCGCATGAAGGGAACAAGAACGGAGTTTCTAGTGGAGTTTTCAGCCCTTTGAAGCCACCATGATGACATATAAAGACATGGACGGAATATACAAGATAGCGTTTCATAAATTTTGTCCATAGTTTATTTTAGGTGTTGCACCATCCTATTTTTTGGGCCAGGCCCATGTATTTTTAAAATACACTTAATAGGTTGTTTTTAGAGTCCGTATTAATAGGGAAAACGACTTGGATAGAATTAGGCCCACCTTGACAAGGGTGGACGAAATTCCCTTCTGTCTCACTATAAATACAGCCCTTAGGGCATCGTATTAGACTTGGATTTTGCTTAAACAGAGTTTTGACATAGCTGCAACTCGCATCCAGTGTTTGTGTTCAACGACCAGGCTAAGATGTCACAGAACCCCACTTTGATTAATAAAGTTTTCCTCTTAAATTCGCAATATTCATATTGCAATCTTAGTTTCTTACTTGTTCTTCGTTTGTCTACAGGAAATAGACTCTCGTGGTCAGGTTGATCGTGCTCCGGCATGGTCAATAACCTCTCGGAGTTGGTTTAGCGATTGTTAAAGCGCGATGCCTTCATATGTTCGTAATCGGATCGTCAAAGTCTAGTCCACCGAAAATGATAGGTACCATCTCATCGAAAAACGGGGCACCTTCGCCTCTATCAAGTTGTATATAAACGCACATTTATGTATATAATATAGCTTAGGATATAGTGCATTGGGAGTGCCCTAAGGAAGTTCTGCCCCTACTTGTTGTGGTGCAATGCACAGTCTAATCCTTGGACTGAGTGCCAGTATGTTGCATTTCACTTGCGTGCGTGTTTTCATAGTATCGAGAGTCTCGTGATCCTTGGGAGATAGGATGAATCTTGGGTTTTCTTTTGAGTGAGCTCCGCCTAGATGTAGTGTGTTTCAGTTAGGCGTGTACACGCATGTGTGCGGCATTGTCATATATGAAGTAATCTACAAAGATATATAAGTATCACACATTCACTCTTTATTCTGAAAAACAAAACACGTTCACACTCCTAGATAATATAATTTTCCCAATAAGCGCAGTGGTGGTATAATTTTTGTAGACATATAGGGTACATGATCCCCGCCATTCAATCTGCATCCAAAGGCTCAAAGTGATAGAGGTGGTGTGGCTTGCTCGGAGGAGGGGAAATTAACATTGGTTGAGGTTAGCGTGGATAACTCACTCATTTGGTTATATATGCAATTCCAAAGTACTAATTAGTTTTATTTGCTAAAGTACCAATTGATTTTACTTGCTAATTCTACGCTCACACCAAGTCAAAACATTGGTACAAGCGTACCTAGCTCGCCATCACTACCCCATCTCAAGACACAGGTGAACATGCAAATAGTTGATGGATCAAATCATCTTGCAGTCTTCCCTAGAACTGGACCCCTATTATCCCCATAGAAAACATCAAATCAAACACACGAACCAGCAAATTGCGTGGTGAGAAATGGCTAAGTCCAAGGTTGGAGTTGGATGACCCTTGAAGCTAGGGGAGGAGCCATGCATGGAGATGGCAATTGCTGTACTTGCTGGTCCCTGGCCAAGTAAAAGAATTAGACCCTCCCGTTGGCCCTGGTGACAACTGTCAATTGTCATGTAAGATTAATTACTGCCTTAGTTAATTAGTTACAAGATAATTATCACCACCACCAATGGGTTAGGACCACAGAGATTAAGTAGAGTTAATTCTGCATAGTTCGTGTGCTGATCTCCCTCACTTTCTGCATGGCACATGCACTTTGTTCCCTACACATAGATGGACATGCCTCTGCCATTGCGCCACCCCAGACTAGTTGGCACTGTACTTTTTTGGCAAAGTTGGCAGTGTGTACTTGTGGTATGATTTGTTGAAGGCTTTGCCTACCCTTTTTCTTGAAGGCTTTTGTGCCTTTCCTGTATCTATTATACTTCAATTCAGAAAGAAGTTTACAAATTCAACCTTTTGAGCGTTTCACGTGAATGGGTGATTATAGTATATGTATCTGAACTTTATGTACGATTTTTGTCTACAACATACTGATTGTCACAAGCTGTCCATATTGGTACGGTCTTCACTTTTTTTCAGAAGTTTTGGTATAGATCGATATACAATGACATAAACCACATCTTCATGGGGTGGTGGTACAAGTCCTGATCCTCACATTTACACACACATGCGATGCGCCACTAGGATTTACGAACCCCTCATCATCCCTGTAATTGCAAAGAAGAGAAGTCTTACCCCCTCATGTTTAGGTAAAACACAAGTACAAGTAGGAGGCAAAAAATGACCCTAGACGGCTAGACCCTAGTCGGGCCATTGGCCGGTGGCCACCCTTTCCACATTAGGGCTGGGCCGGCTCCCCATGTCCTGCATGCCTCCTCCACAGTCCACACACCAACTCAGCCCTCCACATGCACGTACGGTGATGGTGAGACATACCATGCTACCCAAATCATCACCACTTACGTCTGTACCCTCCTTGTGTGTGTATATATTCTTCTCCTCTTTACACCTGTTGCACAGACACTACTACACTACCCGGCCAGCTCTCAGTACTCAGTTACATGCACTGCACTTCCTCTCACTCGGATCTCTTCTTCGGTTCTTCTCCTTCCTCCGGCCGCCGACATGGTAGGCAGCAAGACGCACCACCATGCCTCCTCTTCCCTCCTGCCGGAGGAGCTCAACCTCCTGCAGAAGGCCAGGTGCTCCCCTGACGACGGCAACGGCGTCGTCCATAATAATAATGGTGGAGGAGGAGGACGGGGCGCGCTGGGGCAGTGGAAGTGCCGGCTGCTGGACTCCCTCCGGCCCCGGCGCCCGCGCTGCGTCGTGTGCCTCCAGGTGCAGCACGTGACGGGCATGCCCCCGGCCGCGGAGGGGCGCGGCGTGGTGGTCGGGTGGAGGAGCAAGGGCGGCGAGGGCGAGCACACGGCGCCTGCGCGGGTGTCACGCGGCGGCGCGGCCGCGTTCGACGAGGTGTTCCTCACTACTTCACCGCCGGCGGCTCCACGCTGCGGAGCTTCACCGTGTGGGCGGTGCTCGTGGATGAGGACTCGGCTCCTGGGGGCGGGGACATCGGCGCGTTCCCGGTGGACCTCGCCGAGGCCGCCGCGGCCGAGAGCTCACACCCGCAGTTCGGCGGCAAGGCGCTCAGCTTCCCGCTGGGCGGGGCTGCCGCCGGCGCCGTGCTCACGGTGAGCGTCTACTGCAGAGTGATGGAGCAGGAGGAGATCCATGGCGCCAACGGTACGTTAACGGATGCATGCATGTGCGAAATAAACTCTAAACGTTTGCATCGAGATCCAGTCATCCAACGGTACGTTCACGGCTGGACATCTAGATGTGAGATCACTAAAAATCAGTACTAGCAATCTTCTACTATTGACCTACTAGCTAGCTAGCTTGTAGCCTCCATCGGAGAAGTAAAGAAACCCTAGGTAGCGTCCTCACTCATCGCTGCTTGATGTGACCTGTTAATTTAGCCGAGCACTTGCATTTAAATTGTACCAAGTGTATGCCGTGCACGTTTAACATGGATCGGTACGTGGCAGGCAATGCGAGGGAGAGGAAGAACAAGGGAAAGAGCGCGTCGTACGCGTCGTGCCTGCCGGACCTGAGCTGCCTCCGGACCCGGCCGTCGGCGGCGGGGGCGGCGACGGGGGCGCCGCGGCGGGCGACGTCGCTGCGGTCAGAGCGGGGCGGGTTCATCACGATCGAGAACTCGGTGGCGGAGATGGAGGAGGAGGAGGGGTTCATCACGATGGAGAAGGGCACGGTGTCGTCGCGGTCGCGGCGGGCGGCGCTGGCGCTGGAGGCGCTGGCCGCGGAGGAGGAGGCGGAGGACGAGAAGCCGTGCCTGTTCATGGAGCTGTCGTCGTCGTCCGGGGAGGCGTCGGCGCTGGAGGTGGAGGGGGTGGAGGAGGAGTTCCTGGCGATGCTGGAGGACAAGTACTGGGCGGAGATGGCGCGGAGCAAGGAGATCGAGAAGGGGCTGAGCGTGAGCCTGGACGCCGGGCTGGACCTGGGGCTGGACCTGGACACGCTGATCCGGGACGCGGAGACGGAGCTGGCCCGGGCGGAGCAGGCGTGGAGGAGCAAGGTCGGCGCCGCCATCGTCGAGGAGGAGGAGTACAAGGAGCTGCTCCGTCGGTGGGGCAGCGGCGCCGCCAGGGACCGGGACCGGGAGCACCTCGCCACCTCCAACTCCGGCTGCTCCTGGGGCTTCGGCTTCGGCAGCCCCATCTAGTGCAGCCAACTGAACATCATATATACTTACTATATATCGTCACATCACCCATGTAATCCATGCATGCATGCATTGGGTCATTGAGCCTAAGTAAAAGTAGTGTGTTAAATATTAGTAGTACGATTTGCTTTTGTAATATTGCAAAGAGGAAAGGAACACGAACCAATCAGAAGGCTGCTCCTGTCTTGGTTCATGCGACTGAGCACGGCGCAAACCTGGCAATACCGAGACGCCTTGTGGTTTTTGCATGTATAGTGCTGCATCCTTGGGAGCAAAGCAAAGCAAAGCGAGAGCAACTAGCCCTTGGCCGCATGTACGGCCGCATACGAGGCGACCGGCCCGGCGCAAAGGAATGTCTCGAATGAATGATGGCAAACAGTCGGGTGAAGCGGAGTGAGAGCATGGGGATCGGCGACCAGGGAGGGCGGCCGGTCCCCACAGCCACCTTGCAGCACGGCCTCATTTCATGCCTCCTCATGTACTAAATTACACAGAAATGCCCACAGTTTCCATCATCGGCCTGGTACTGATGGTCTGCAGGCCCCAACTAAATAATCGTGGCCGAGTGTGAGGCGAAGCAGAATAGTATTCATTCGGGTGAATTCCAAACCAGCCAGGGGTTTTTTATATGGTGTGAAAAGTCGAACACAGAGAGGAAGGGAGGGGGTATGGAATTATGACATTGCATCCTACCTAACTAGGATTATACAGGTGTTACAGATGATGAAATTCAGAGAGAAGGACGGAACTGGTTCCAAAAATATGAAAGCCAACTTATAGTAGTGATGGCCCCCTACGCTAAAGAGCTGGCTAAAGGAATTGTTTTTGTGTACAGGTACAACAAAAAATAAGCAATCTACCTTGCCCTGGCCCTGGATCTTCCAAAACCTGCAGGGCCCGCCCGCCATCCGCCGAGGGTCTATTTTGGAATGGTGATGTGATTTTCCAGATCCCATACCACAATCTTGCCGTCCAGCCCTACATCCACGAGGCACAGACAGTATTAAAGGGGTGTCAACACAACACATCCTTCAGACAGAAAAAACTGGAATGGGCTAGGAGAGGTCAGTTAGTCTTGTTTCAACCTGATGTGCTGAACCGTTTGACAATACTCTCGCTCCCTTTTCTCAACGGCACGATGCAACTGAGGATACAGAAGACCAGAATTATATATCAGAGACAAAAGAGCGGCACTAGAACGGCAAAATGGTGGAAACAGATGGAAGCAGGGAAGTACGTTATGCAGTTCTCATGAGCGCCGCCTCGAGGCTTCGATGGTTCGACAGTGTCGCTGCTCGACCCTTGCCTCGATTGGCCGTACAACTTTCCAAGGGCCTCTGAGAGCTGAAACATAATATATTCATTTAGTATTAGCCCCATGCCTCCTTTTAACAAAGATGTTAGCATAGCTCTAACGTTAGCTACAAGAAATGTTTCTTTCTTCCACACAGTCTTTACAACTTCAGCGTCTGTAGCCATAAAATTGCAGCAGATCATACGCATGAAATAGTTTATCCTATATTATAGCAGGCACCAACTCACGGTATATAGTTCTACAAAAGCATCGGAAAACTGACAATTTACTTCCATCATTAAAAATCAGCAGCATACAAAAGTCAGACGAGACCATAGCAAGTCATTTGTTCGTACTTGTGTTAGAACAGTGCCAAAATCAGAGTCAGACCAGCAACCGTGTGCAGCACTGCAGTGTGCCCATTTCACTCAAGTTACTGTTCCTTAACAAAATCTAGGGGGGCTCGAAATGTTTGACATCCAAGTAGAAGGACCATGGATCAGATTGTTCATGCAAAGGAAACCCAACTTTAGATAACTAACCAGACACCATCTCAGAAGATCTCACACTCATGCACACATAAAATCGCATATAGCCTACAGCAAATTTAACCTGTACTCAACCATTCAGGAAGCAGTTCACCCTACTTCTACAGATGCAAACAGAACAATCTCATGAACAAGGGATAAATAGCAAACACATATAACAACATACAGCAGAGAGGCCTGATAAGCATAAGAGGCACCTGCGAGGCTTTTGAAGTTGATGGAGTAACTTTCCTTTCATCCAAATATCTGACAAAACTCCTATAGGATACAAATATGTAAATACATATTGTCAAAAAGAACATGTCCATGAGAGAAAAACTTTAAGACCTGGGTATCAAGAGCTACTAGCAAACCCTGAACTTTAATTAGTGTCATTTGTCAAAGATTGAAATGGAATATTTTTTCCTAGGTACAATGAGACCGTAAGAATTAGCAAGCTGAAGGTGCCTCAAAATGAAGTTAACAGTTGACATGGTTTTTACAGGAAGCAATGGCCACTTCAAAGCACTGCTAGAATGAAGAGAAAGTGCAGCTAATTTAACAAAACAGTTGCTATGCACAATTTTCTTACCAAAGTCCAGTCTCATCTGCAGCAAAGATCAAAGGATTGCAGTCAAATCCAACACCAATCGCCATCTTTTCAGAAACAAAAAGAATCTGAAATTTGGAAGAGTTCACTCAATTAATGAAATGTGGAGATCACCACATGCAACTAAACAATAGCAAAAGGGAAAATGCTGACCCACATCACGGAGAGGCAGATCACGCAGTGCCAAATTTTGCACAGCAGGAGACCCTTCAACGTCATCAACGAAATAAATCATGGAACTGTGCCCTGGAAATAACACAACAAGAATCAATTCAGTGTCTGCAAAAGTTTGCATGGAATCTGCAGCTACTTAGATACTTTGCATGGATAGACCAAAGGGCCAATAGTCTCACAAAGGAACCCAAATTCAGTTAGGAGAAAGTTAAAAATAGAACATCAAGAAACCAATAATAATCTCATTAGCCTAAAATGATTAGGACAAACCTTAATTATGAAGAGACCTATTAATAAAATTTTGGAAGTTCAAATACCACAATGGAAGAGGTTCACTAATTACAAGAATAAGATTGTGAAAACCCTTGGCAGGTAATTATGTTGAGTTCGTAAACAATTTGTGCCTAGATGGCTGCTGAGAAGTAATGCAAATCAGTGGCACCCATATAAACAAGAAGCTAGGTGGAAAAACCTGCATAGGCCAATGTTTTTCCACTTGGCGACCACCTTACACCAAATGCCCATGTAGGTGATAGATCAAGTTGAGCAATTTGCTGCATCCAAATAGGAGAAAATGTTACAAGCACGACTAGCAACTTAACAAGAAAGAACACAGATTAATAAGACACTGCAAGCATAGTCCTGTGGAACATTCTGAACCATATTGATCTGGATTCTTAGCCTCCCAAGAATAGAAGAGTTGGGGAAGTATTTAATATAAAAAATGCCACCACATGGTTGAAAACAAACTTTGTGAATCAGCAGATTATTTCTTATTTTTAGCCGTAGATGGGGTGCAAAGTGCTAACAAAGTTGATAGGAGGTTACTATTGGCAAAAGCCATGCACGTTCAATTGCATGCCATTAGTCTATAAGGCGAATAAAGAAATTGGCAAGCAGATTTGGTACGTGAGATGTATACTTGCTAAGGAACAGCATATTATGAACTAACGGATCAATGAATAGCAAATACCTCTCCGAATTTCCAATCCACTGAGGCACCTGCGTGTGGTCCCCTAATCAGAAAGAGAGAAAGCATGAGACAGCTAAAGCATTTGGAATGTGTACTGACTGTGTTAATGGCAAGGTTTTCAGTTCAAAAATAATGGCAAGGTCCACCTTGTATCTACACCCTTGATGATAGTGGAGAACACTCTGCATTTACCATCAGTAGAAGTTGTTGCAAGATGTATCTGAAATTAGATGAAAGCAGAGAAACCAACATTACGTCCAATAAACGGGTCGTGCATATACATGGCGTCTACACCAAACAAAATCACATCAAATAAGTTCATCCAATCATCTGATGCGAATAGGAGGTATGCTACTAGCCAGTGGCAGACAACAGCACAAATTAACTGGGGTACAGTCAGATAAGGGCACCTTTACTTTACTCTTTTATGTTGCATTTCTCATTATAGAGGGGCAAACCGCATATGATCTTTTTCACTACTCCCAATAGATAAAGAACAAAAATATAATGAATGCACCCCCTAGATAATTGTCCCTTATGTTTCCCTACTGATGATTATGCTCAAATTACTTCAAGGAGAGGCATGATATTATGCTCACATTGTTTGGATGCCACGCGATACTAGTAACAGAAGATTCATGCTTCTTCCTAATAACCTTGCTAATCCACCTGTACCATAAGAGAAAATCAAAGTAGTTCAAAGAACGCACATCAAGAGTGACACATCAACTTCAATAATTGCCTGAACAGAAGAAAACACTCATCAATTAGTGCAGTGGGCATAACTAATTGAAAAACAAGTTAATCAAAACAGGTACACGACTAGTGGAAGTGGCAGCGACCAATACCAGTTATTCTCTTGTTCATAGTAGCAAATGGATACAGACTTAGCACCACTTCCCACAGCAAACTTATTTTCTGCAAACAACAGAAACTTTTAGAAAGGAGTTTAAAGTGTGAGGCATTGTTTGTAAGGCGGCCTAAGGTGAGCACCAACCGGCAACTGCCCTGACGCCTAAGCACCTAATGTGGACGCCTAAGCGCTTAAAGCCGGCATAATTGCAAGGTGCTGGCAGGGCACCTTACCGCCTAAGCATCCAAGGCGGGACGCCTTATAAACAATGGTGTGAGGAATATCCAGCTACATATGTTTCACTTATGGTTCATTGCTAAATAGTTCATGTGCAGCTATGTTCTACCATGGGAGACAAGTTTTCATAACCAACTAAGGAACATAAGTACAAAAAATAGATTGCATGAAACAAACAATGGGAAACAATATCTACTTGGAGAATTTGATCATTCAGCAACGAAATAGATACTCCTAATGCATTCGGGATAGATGTATGAAGGCAGGCTATTGGCAGAACCTTTTGGACTCCACTGGACACATAGAGCTGCACGGTTTAGCTTGAGAATAACAAGCGTAGGTACCCAATCTTGTCCTTCTTGTGTCCAAACATATCTGCAGGTAAATAAAGGAATATAAGGAAACAGATATAATTATCTTCTTTGGACTAAAAAACAGACTATTTACTTGCACATTAGAAATTATGACCAAACACTTACGAATTTCTATCATGTGAAACAGTCACAATTTTGTTGGAAGATCTACTCCAGTCTATTCCAGACACTATCTGATCATGCTACAAGATATAACAATAAAAATAAAGATGTTAATGTAATACACTTATAAACTAGCAAATGGAAATGTTCAATGGAGAAGAAAGAGACAGCTCAAGTGCAGATACTACTGCACATGCAAGAAAGAAAATAAGGAAAGTCTACCTTTGCAAGAACATGAAGTTTCTCCCACTTGTCTGTGAAAAACTTATAAATGTGTACTTCTGTGGTATTTGGACAGAAGGCAATCACTGAAAGAGAGAAATGGTTCCGAGTCAAGTTAACTGATAAGAGGGCAAGGGGCCTGCATTTATAAATGAAAATGACAACAGTAGTGCAATAGAAGGCAGCGATTGAGATTTTGTCATTACAGGCAGATTGTATGATCTACTGCTGTATTTTTTTTCCCATAAACAATTCAAGGGACAACATGTAAACACAGCAGCTAGCTAGTGGCAGAAAGGCATATCTGAAGACTATTTTCAGGAGCACATGAGGTCATGATAGGCAACAGAATTATGGCGAGGCAATACGCGCGTCGGTTTAATTCACAGAAAACGCCCATTTCATTTGGTCAGCTCTCAGATTTCGTTCTAAATACCCAAATTCAGTCATGGATGCACACACCTGTGAGAAGGTGGCCAACATGAATATCCAAACCACCTGGGACTGATCCATCATCCATGTCACCTATGCTACCTCAATACAGTAACAAGCCATTTTTACTACATAGCACCAACCAACAGCCCATAAATAAATCATGAAACGCTCACCATTCACCAGCGAGAAATGATATGCATGGTGCCTCACAGATGTGAGAGGGGTTTCAAACATGAAAAAACTAAATCACCTGTGACTGATTGATTGAATGTACCATCCGAATATGGTATCGCCGAGAGCACCGCAAGAGGGCATTTACCTGGCACCAACCGACAGCCCATAAATCACGAAACGCTCACCATGCCAGGGTCGCACGAAAGCGGAAACCAGCGGACCACCTACTGGCTATTCCACGACATAAATAATCATTCGACATGGGATGATTGGGAAACGGCGATCCGCGAGCCCGCCCGAAACCCTAGGAATCCGCCCTGAACCCGACGCATACGGGCTACGGCTACCGATCGGGCGCGGCCGCGGGTTATCCTACAGGGCTAGGACGGGCGCGGCGAACGGGGGGGCGAATCG